AAGCCAGCAGGGACCCGCTTCCCAGCAGCAGCAAATGAAAAACAACAGAAACCAAATGGCACTCAAGAGAAGGGTTTTAGTAATTAGTATAAAAAGGTTTCCTATAAAAGAGAACTTTCATATTCAAAATGTCAAAAATGGCCAGGCATAGTGGCTCACACTTGTAATCCCAGCACCTTGGGAGCCCAAGGGGAGAGGATGGCTTGAGGTCAAGAGTTCAAGATCAGCTGAGCAACATGGGAAGGCCCAATCTCTAGAAGAAAATTTTGAAAAAATTAGCAGGGTGTGGTGAGTGCATACCTATAGTCCTGGCTACTCAAGAGGCTGAGGCAAGAGGACTGCTTGAGCCCAGGAGTTCGATCGAGGCTGCAGTGAATTATAATCATGCCACCACACTCCAGCTTGGGCAACAGAGTGAAACCCAGTCTCCCAAACAAAGTCAAAAATGGCTTTAAAAATCTTGATTAGAATAATACTCAAAGAAAAAAAAAGGTGTCACTTAAAAAGCAACTCCTTAAATGTAAATCAGAAATAGTTTGCAACAGAGCCAAAGAAGCCATTATAAGCTGCTACATAAATAGGCATTTAATGATTTTCTCAATGTTACATTATTGATCTAAGAGGCCCTCTGTTTCCGCTGAAATGAATAAGTAATTTGTTTAAGATAACATTAATAGGGGCCAGGTGCAGAGGCTCATGCCTGTAATCCCAGCACTTTGGGAGGCCGAGGAGGGCGGATCACGAGGTCAGGTGTTCGAGACCATCCTATCTAACACGGTAAAATCCCGTTTCTACTAAAAATACAAAACAAAAATTAGCCGGGCATGGTGGCAGGCACTTGCAGTCCCAGCTACTCGGGAGGCTAAGGCAGGAGAATCGCTTGAACCTGGGAGGCGGAGGCTGCGGTGAGCTGAGATCACGCCACTGCACTCCAGCCTAGGTGACAGAGCGAGACTTTGTCTCAAACAAAACAAAACAAAAAAAAATTAACAGGATTTGCAGCACATCAGATACCCTGGGTCCTTCTTATCATTAGAATCAACATTATAAAGAACAAATTTCACATTGTCTTTCAGTGAAACATCTGCATAATTTTAGAAATCACAGCAAAAGAGCAGAGACATTAGTTACATCCATCACATGCAAAAAGGCATTTCCGAGTCACAATACCATGAATATCATTTATGCAATTCAGTATTGAACGTTTACTTACTAATGTCAGACACTACCACTTTATGCACTGAAAACGCAATGGTGACTGAGACATGGTACCTACTCTCAAAGAGTTTACAGTCTATCTGTGAAAACAATACAAAAAGGTATACAAGATGCTATGAAAGCACAGAGAATGAGGTCCAGTACCCTACAAAGAGAGCCAGAGACAACATCAAAGAGGCCGGGTGCAGTGGCTCATGCCTGTAATCCCAGAGCTTTGGGAGGCTGAGATGGGCGGATCACTTGAGGCCAGGAGTTCTAGACCAGCCTGGCCAATATAGCAAAACCCCGTCTCTACAAAAAATACAAAAATTAGCCAGTGTGGTGGTGCATGCTTGTAATCCCAGCTATTTGGGAGGCTGAGTCACAAGAATTGCCTGAACTCAGGAGGTGGAGGCTGCAGTGAGCCGAGTTCATGCCACTCCACTCTCACCTGGGCAAAAGAAGAGACCCCATCTGAAAAAAGGAAGAGGGGAGGGGAGAAAAGAGGAGGGGGCCAGATTCTGGTGGGAGGTGATGACTGCATAAAAGATTGGCTTCTTCTGGCAAAGGAAATGTTGTCAGAGGCACAACATGCTCAAACTGCCAAGTATTTTGTTAAGAGTTGCCTTTTCCATAAAAAAAGAGACTATAGCGGAAAATTAAACTTTACTAGCAAAGCTGCATGTATCAAGAGAACAGGGATCTACTTAACCTAGGAGGAAAAAAGGTAAAATATCACAATTTCATCTTGGCCTATTCCCCATATCCCCTATTCAAACACATTTATTTCCTCATGCTGCAGTGTGTGTCAGGCATGAGAGAGGACTCAGGGCTGAACAAGAGGGATCCAACACTGCCCTCAGGAAACCAACGCAATGAGCAATCAGACAATAGAGCGCTTCTGTGGCTACACATGATTCTGAAATGTAGCTCCCTGATTAGAGTTACCATGGAATAAAATACTGAGCTTAAAAGCTACTGTTTTAAGAATCGTCCAGTAGTAAAGAAGAGAGCAACTGTTATTTGACATCAGATATGATGGTATACCAGGAATTTGAAAAGAAACTTTGACATCCCACATACATAAAAAAGGAATCATGCTTGAATTTTCAAATAAATGCTACTAACTCAGGTTTTACAGACTTCAAAGCACTCTTACACACTGTTCACAGCAAGGGAGGCCAAGCAGCTATTTTAATAATTACCTACCACTGGTCAAGCACTGATTGTGTAGTACGGGGCTCTTTGCTGGAAACTTAATATCCATGATCTCATTTCATCCTCACAACAATCACGCAAAGTAACTATTATCTCCCTCTTACAAACACGGAACCTGCGGCTTTGAGGGTTTACATAACCTGCCCAAAGACACGTGGCTGACAAGTGGTGGAGACAAAGTTAGTCCCCGTGTCAGTCTGTGAAACTCCGTTTATCCCGCTGCACAGCTTCAATGTCACTGAATGTGGCCAGCAAAGGAGCTGAAGAGGCTGGAGTGAGCAGAGGAGGCTGGAGTAGACTGCAGGTCAGGACTTTGAACTCAGTCTTCTTGCAGCCACGTTGAAGCCTCACTATAACTGTAACCTCAAGGTCCCCATCCCCACCTGAAGTTATCTTGAGCTTTCTAATAATTCAGTCCCTCTGGATTTTCTCTAAACCATCTTTCTAAGGATGGTGGGGAAATGGATCACAGAAAAAATCTCTACGCAAAAATTAAAATATTTAACAAGCCACATCACACCCTGCATTCACCACTATCCCTGGTGTCTGATGCTCCTGAAGTACATTCTGCACTGAAATCTGCTATTAAAGAGCCATAATAAAAGCTCAAAACCATGCCAAGGTTCATTTACTCAATCTCATGGAATCCTCACAATAATACTAAAGTCTATACTATTATGCTCAGTTTACACAGATAAGCAGAAGTTCATCAACGTTAAATAAGGCACCCAAGGTCACACAACTGTAAGTGATGTTGCAGTATGATTCCAAAAGCCTAAGCTTTTCCCCTCTACAACACGGCCTGGATTCCTGCGATAGTCAGATAGTGAAAGAAAAATAACAAAATACTGTGATCTGAATTTGTATATCTGCAGAAATTTTCATATATAATTACTCAACAGTTCTATCAGAATTATATAGTTTTACCATGCGGCATTTTGTTAAAGTAAAAAGCAAACATATCACTTAAATTTTTCACATCTTTTACATTATCAAAGCAGCATGGTACTTGAAATTTGTTTGAATATGTAGCTTAACAATACACATTTTCTTTTTTTTGAGACAGAGTCTCGCTCTGTTGCCCAGGCTGGACTGCAGTGGCACGATCTCGGCTCACTGCAAGCTCCGTTTCCCAGGTTCACACCATTCTCCTGCCTCAGCCTCCCGAGTAGCTGGGACTACAGGTGCCCGCCACCACACCCGGCTAATTTTTTTTTTGTATTTTTTTTTTTAGTAGAGACGAGGTTTCACCGTGTTAGCCAGGATGGTCTTGATCTTCTGACCTCGTGATCCGCCCGCCTCGGCCTCCCAAAGTGCTGGGATTACAGGCATGAGCCACCGCACCCAGCCAACAATACACACTTTCATCAATATTTTATTCAAAAACTTTCCATCTTAAGAAAACAAAACATTTAATTGATGGTTAATATCAAAATTATTTAGGATCCTACAAGAAACAGGGTGCCCCATCTTTTTAGAACTCTTTTATTTATTTATATGTTTGTTTGTTTGTTTTTATTGAGACAGGGCCTCACTCTGTCACCCAGGCTAGAGTGCAGTGGGCATGGATGTTGGCTCACTGCAACCTCCAACTCCTAGGTTCAAACAATTCTCCTGCCTCAGCCTTCCAAGTAGCTGGGGTTACAGGTGCACGCCACCATGCCCAGCTAATTTTTGCATATTTAGTAGAGATGGGGTTTCACCTTATTTGCCAGGCTGGTCTCGAACTCCTGACCTCAGATGATCCGCCTGCCTCGGCCTCCCCAAGTGCTGGGATTACAAGTGAGAGCCACCGTGCCCAGCCTAGAACCATATTTTAAAAGCAAACAAAATATTCAGTTTATTTGTTTGTAAAACAAGGCTGGGCATAGTGGCTCATGCCTGTAATCCCAGCACTGTGAAAGGCTGAGGTGGGTGGATCACCTGAGGTCAGGGGTTCAAGACCAAACTGGCCAACATTGTGAAACTCCGTCTCTACTAAAAATACAAAAATTAGCCAGGTGTCATGTTGCACACCTGTAATCCCAGCTACTCGGGAGGTTGAGGCAGGAGAAGTTCTTGAACCCAAGAAACAGAGTTTGCAGTGGGCCAAGATTGCGCCACTGCACTCCAGTCTAGGCAACAGAGCGAGACTCTGTCTCAAACAACAACAACAACAACAAAAACAAGTATTTGATACGAGTTTAATGGAGTGAATAAATCTCAAATATGTATAAACAAATGGGGGAAGTACAGAGATGAACAGGTCAATGTAAGTATTAATTTACTATAGGTACTTCTCATTCTCAAAGTAAATCTGCAACTCACTTTAGAAGAAGTGCAACGAGAACGAGAAAGGAACAGAATGGAGGTAATTAAAAAAATATACTATGTAGTGTACCTAATGAATCAAAAGACTTGTCTTATTTTCTCATCCATACATGATACTTACTAATTATTTCATTTATTTCAGAGACAATCTCAAAAACAAACCAGGCAGCAATGAGTGTAAGCTGACTGAGCCCACAGCTTTTAAATTAAGCGGGCAGCGGGAGGGCAACCTCTCACTGTATTTAATACACAAAACAGAAATCCAAAACACTTACCAATCTTTACTTGCTCAGGCTGGCTAAGGGAAACAAATGCTGATGTGTCATCAATCCAGGATATCTGAATGTTACCTGCAATCGCAAATTAAAACGAAAGTGAACATTTGTCCATGTGGAGAGCCATCAGATTTAATGTGCATATCTTATATATTTTAGTATAGTCTATCTTTAAAGAGAGAGAAGGTGCTTATTTAAAACATGATCAAAATCTCAGCACTATAGAGAGTTAGCCTGTTTAAAGGCTACCACAGCAGTTATTTAGGTTAAAACTTCAAGAGAAGAGACAAACCAGTGGGAAAAGAAGCGATTAGAAATTTAACACAATAGAAAGATCCTTCCCGATTAAACCCTGGGGCTTGTCATCATTCAGTGCAATACCAGGATTGGAGACTTATTTTCCTATCAAGACCACTAACAAAAATCAGAGACCAATAGGTTCAAAAACACAACTTTTTTTTTTTGAGACCCAGGTGAGTGTCACCCTGTCGCCCAAGCTGGAGTGCAGTGGCGCAATCTCAGTTCACTGCAACCTCTGCCTCCTAGTTCAAGCAATCTTCGCACCCCAGTGTCCCAAGTAGCTGTGACTACAGGCACACACCACCATGCTTACACATAATCTTGTTGAAAACAGTGTTAGAGGCCAGGCGCAGTGACTCATGCCTATAATCCCAGCACTTTGTGAGGCCAAGGTGGGAGGATCACCGGAGGTCGGGAGTTTGAGACCAGCCTGACCAACATGGAGAAACCCCATCTCTAATGAAAATACAAAACTAGCTGGAGGTGGTGGCACGTGCCTGTAATCCCAGCTACTCAGGAGGCTAAGGCAGGAGAATCGCTTGAACCCGGGAGGCAGAGGTTGAGGTGAGCCGAGATCGCACCATTGCACTCTAGCCTGGGCAACAAGAGCGAAACTCTGTCTCAAATAATAATAATAATAATAATAATAATAATAATAATAATAATAGTGTTAGTACTTAAATTAACTTTGTATGCCTTAATGTTCGTTCTGACTTATTTTAAATATTTACATTCAGAAATGGTATGCCGTATTATCAGTGTAGAAGGCTCTGCTGTGAAAGTCTACTATTCTAAAATATCAATTTAAAATAAAGATAAGAAAAAATAGATCGGGCTCAGTGGCTCACGCCTGTAATTCCAGCAGTTTGGGAGTCTGAGGCGGGAGGATCACTTGAGCCCAAGAGTTCGAGGCCAGCCTGGGCTACATGGCAAGACCGCATTTCTATTTTTAAAAAAATAAAAAATTAAATTAAATTAAAAAAATGAAAAATGATGTTAGTTATATGGGAGGCCTACTTTGTATCTGCTTTTTACTCTAAACGTTAAAATACAAGCACTTTAACTACTTTTAACAAACTCTTCAAATATTTTTTAAATGGCTACACACTAGAAGATACATAAATATTTACTAAACTTTTTTACTACTTGACATTTAGGTCTTGTGGCCTTCACTTTATCCAAGAATTTCCAGAGACTAGCTTAAATGCTTCGTTTGTTAAAGTAAGAGAGGTATTGCTGTGGGTTTACAATCAGAATGGTTTTCATAAACACATATCAGGAGACTGCTCAAACGAACCTAATCACATGACCTGGTAAAAAAGGAAAGAGAAGGACTGCCCTACATCACACACGTATCACAATTCCTGATCTACCCAAACATCTGTCACTTTGATTAATCTAAAGCAGAGACGACCTCCCCTCCCATTATGAAACATACAAGCCCTCTGAGTTCAATCTTAAAAATTATTTACGCTCAGCCACAGGTTATTTTCCCCGGTCAGTAGTAAGGGCAGTCATCATCATGGTGTTTTGCTTTCCATGAATTAATAGCTCTGTATTGTGAGGTGCTATTAAAAGTTTCTCAGATCATATTAGCACAAAGATAACAGTATCCTAAACCAGAAAATTCGAAGAGTGAAATTAAAACCTTGAATATTAACATTCTTTTATGCCCAAGCCAAAACTGTCTTTCTACTTCTGACCACCTATACCAAATGAATAGCAAAACCCTAAAAGGTACATCTGAACTTGTGACTTACCAAAGGCACTGAAAAGCTGGTAAAGGTCACTGGTTTTCCATTCTTTGGGGAACGTCACATGGAGAACATGATCACGCTTAGGCTGCACTATAAGACAAATTTATGATGAAATGTTGATGGGTGAAAAGTGATCAAGTAAACCAGTGGTTCTTTGATGAAATTAAGTCTAAGCTAATATGCAGAACTGTTACGAATTCCTCATGACTACCAAACAACTCCTGAAAATATGCCTGGGATTGGTAGGATTCTGCCATGGTAATCTAGACCTTAGGTTCTGATACATTACAGAACCCACAACAAACTGAACCCTATGCAAAGACATCTTCTCTTCTCATGAAGTTCCTGTGCAAATTATGTTCATTTTTAAAATTTTATATATATATATATATATATATATATTTTTTTTTTTTTTTTGAGACGGAGTCTCGCTCTGTCGCCCAGGTTGGAGTGCTGTGGCCGGATCTCAGCTCACTGCAAGCTCCGCCTCCCGGGTTCACGCCATTCTCCAGCCTCAGCCTCCCGAGTAGCTGGGACTACAGGCGCCCGCCACGGCGCCCGGCTAGTTTTTTGTATTTTTTTAGTAGAGACGGGGTTTCACCATGATAGCCAGGATGGTCTCGATCTCCTGACCTTGTGATCCACCCGTCTCGGCCTCCCAAAGTGCTGGGATTACAGGCTTGAGCCACCGCGCCCGGCCTTTTTTTTTTTTTTGAGACAGGGTTTTGCCCTGTCATCCAGGCTAGAGTGCAGTGGCACGGTAATAGCTCACTGCAGCCTCAAACTCCTGGGCTCAAGTTATCCTCCCACCTCAACCTCCTGGGCAGCTGAGGCTACAGGTGCATGCCACCATGCCTGGCTAATTTTTTTATCCTTTAATTTTATTTTTCTAGAGATGGGGGTCTCACTATGTTGCCCAGGCTGGTCTCGAATTCCTGGCCTCAAGTGATCCCCCCACCTCGGTCTCCAAAAGTGCTGGAATTACAGGCATGAACCACCACACCCAACTGTGCAAATTATTTAGAAGAAAAACAAGGCTGCTCTGTTCATGAAGTTTCACTTCACTAAACATTTACCTTTCCCATTTTAATATACTTAGCTAAAAAAAAAAAAAAAAGAAAAAAAGAAAAGCACTGTCCAAATTAAATGGACTATTTGTTAAGTAAGGCAATCCTGAGTCATAATCTTGTTTTCTAATCCCAAACCTAGACCTTTTCTGTGCAGCCCTAAGCAAGAGACCTAATCACTCTAACCACCCTGGACTATAAACTGGGAATGGCGATATTTAGCATCAGAATTCTTGTGAGAATGACAGACCAAAATATCAGTCTAACATGGAGGGCAACACAACAGTATGTCCTCAAACTATCACTGCAACAATTATTATCACCAAGTATAGTTCACCCACTTCTACCTGCCAATGACATGCATTAAGGTAAAAAAGAACAAATGAAACAGCAGAAAAAAAGCAGAGGAAAAGAAAAGGCAACTACCTCCCATAGACCCTCCATGTTTTTTAAATTAAAAAAAAAAAAAAATCAACCTACTAAATTCAAATATATACACACTCAAGTAATTGGAAAATAGAAATTTTACCAAGGTAACTGACAGCTAGCATATCTTAAAAATATATTATAAATACTTATAAAAAATGATGAAATCAGAATTCTGTGTGAAAATGAAATATATAGAGAAGACATACATGTTTTTAAAATTCAATTCATGCATAAACTGGAAAATATAAGTGAAGTGATGACTAATGAATGCCCAAGAGTCCCATTAACTTAAGCATACTATTCATATCAACCACAAAATCACTGCCCAATTTTAAGTGAAGAAAGCTTTTTCTTTAGTAATATTTTCCTGTTATCCCTTCCAGACCACACATTTAAATGCACAGATGCAATAAGAAAATAAAAATTTACTTACAGTCTGGTCCTTCCAAGTTTAGATAGGGGATATCCATGACCCTCATAAGAAATAACCTACAAGAAAAGACCAACAGGTAATGGGCAATTTCCTTTAAACGAGAGGTGTTTTGACATTTTTAAGGTTGAATTAGAAAAAAAAAAATTGTTTAATAGGCATTTACCAAATTTTTTAGTAGAAGCTCCTTGATATCACTCTATTTGTAAAATCATTTCTATTGTTTTTTTTTTTTTTTTTTGAGATGGAGCCTCACTCTGCCGCCCAGGCTGGCGTGCAGTGGTGTCATCTTGGCTCACTGCAACCTCTTCCCCAGTTAAGTGATTCTCCTGCCTCAGCCTCCCGAATAGCTGGGATCACAGTCATGTGCCACCATGCCTGATTAATTTTTGTACTTTTAGTACAAACAGGGTTTCACCATGTTGGCCAGGCTGGTCACGAACTCCTGGTCTCAAGTGATCTACCTGCCTCTGCCTCCCAAAGCGCTGGGATTTACAGGCATGAGCCACCACATCTGGCTTTATTATTAATTATTATTATTATATTATTATTTTGAGACGGAGTCTCATTCTCACGCCAGGTTGGAGTGCAGTGGCACAATCTTGGCTCACTGCAACCTCTGCCTCCCAGGTTCCAGCGATTTGCCCACCTCAGCCTCCTGAGTTGCTGGGACTACAGGCGCGGGCCACCACGCCCGGCTAATTTTTTGTATTTTTAGTACAGATGGGGTTTCCCGATGTTGACCAGGCTAGTCTAGAACTCCTGACCTCAAGTGATCCACCTGCCTTAGCCTCCCAAAGTGTTACAATTACAGGCATGAGCCACCGCACCAGCCATGTAAAATCATTTCTAAAGCTCTGAAATTCATTTCAGAGATTTTTCTCCTGGGCCAAATATTTATCACAAATAGAAAAAACAAACAAACAAACAAACTGGTATCCCCAACAGTTTCTGGCACTCAGTAGCTGCTCAATAAATATTAGTTAACTGAACAAAATTAATCATCAAAGAGTCAAGGGAAAGTCCTTCGCAGAGCTGTCGTTTTAGTTAGTCCAAGTAAACAAAGAAAATAAATATTACCCATCTTACCAATCAAAGAACAAGTGTTTCTACAAATTCTAAGGGTAACCCTTATAATGGACATTTGTGAACTGAGAATGACAGCACAGGTTTCTTTTTTTTTTAAATGAAATGCAAAGTCACTGGATAAATGCTAATCTCTCTGGGTAAACTGTACAGTCTGAAATAAGTGACTGTCTCAAAAGGCCACATCATTATTCTCATTTAAAACACACTAAAAGCACAAAACAAAACAATCCTTGGTAAAGAAAACTATCACACTAATATAAATCATAGCAGTCATTTTGTTTATCTTCCAAAATGGGTACAAAGGCACTTAAAAAAGAGTGCTTGTAAATTACAACTCTCTGTCATGCCATTCAATTTTCTTTTATTTGCAAGATTATGGACAAAATATCAGGCATTCTGTTGTGTGTCAGATTATTTTAATGAGTTTTACTTAGATAACAATATATTACGCATTTCTGGTAGAGACAACATTATACAGCAAATTAAAAAGGCAATCTATGTGCCCAAGAAGCAATTAGTTTGGCTTCACTGACCCGCAATTAAGGAACATCATTACCAGGCATTCAAAAGCCAAGCAGGGCCAGGTGCAATGGCACGCCTGTAATCCCAGCACTTTGGGAGGCCAAGGTGGGTGGATCACCTGAGGTCAGAAGTTCAAGACCAGCCCAACCAACATGGCGAAATCCCGTCTCTACTAAAAATGCAAAAATTAGCTGGGCGTGGTGGTGGGTACCTGTAATCCCAGCTACTCAGGAGGCTGAGGCAGGAGAATCGCCTGAACCCTGGAGGTGGAGGTTGCAGTGAACTGAGATAGCAACACTGCACTCCAGCCTGGGCAACAAGAGTAAAATTCTGCCACAAAAAAAAAAAAAAAAAGCCAAGCAGGGCAAAAGCTACTTTACAAATCAAACCATCAGCATGAACAATACTGTTCTGTTAATGTCAGAAAAAACGAAGTCATGGTACTCTGTGGTTTGAGAATTTGTTGTCTGCCCTACAGTTTAATAAACCAAATGCTATGGCTAAGAAACCAAATTTATTTTTAGTTTGCTAATTTAGGCTCAAGTGTACTATTCTGGTTTTGTAAGCTGTTTTAACCAATTTAATCAATACTCCCTGCAATGCCAGAAGACAAGAAGATACATAATAGCACCTAGCATGGCAGGTTCTCAGTGAGGGCAGCTATCATTTTTTCTTAAATATTATTTTCCAGCATAAACGATACACACTGGAACTATCATTATTATCGCCTACCAGAACCTAATAATAACAAAAGTTATTCCTAGGTTAGTAAGCTAGTTAATTAGGTAAGCTAACTAACCTAGGAATGACTTTTGTTATTGTTAGTCATGCTTCATATAATTCTCAGTTCTCCGTTTAGTAAATTTAGAAACAGTCTCCAATTTTAAACACCAAATTTATTTTAAAAGTTAATGAAGGCCGGGCACGCTGGCTCACGTCTGTAATCCCAGCACTTTACGAGGCCAAGGCAGGCAGATTACCTGAGGTCAGGAGTTTGAGACCAGCCTGGCCAACTATGGTAAAACCCTGTCTCTACTAAAAATACAAAAAACTAGCGGGCGTGGTGGCGGGCAGCTGTAATCCCAGCTACTTGGGAGGCTGAGATAGGAGAATCACTTGAACCCAGGAGGCAGAAGGTGCAGTGAGCCGAGATTGCGCCATTGCACTCCAGCCTGGCAAAAGACCAAGACTCTGTCTCAAAGGAAAAAAAAAAGTTAATGAAACGTACCAAACACCACAAAAGTAACTGAGAACAAAAGTTGAATCAACAAAATGTTCACTGCTATACCATCAAATATGCCAAAAATCAAAATCAACCTCAAGATTTGATAATACATGGATGTCAGTAAATTATAGTTCAAAATTTCAATATATTAAAAGCAATCAAAATAACTATGAAAATGTCAAAACATGGATAACTTAAAATTTTAAGTTTTAAAAAGGCACAAAATTTTATACTATGATTTTACCTTTATAAAATATTGATGTCATTAAGCTAAGAATAAAAAAATACCCTCCCCTCCCCCGCCAACAGCTTTGGGAAACTCTGAGCTTTGTTTCTCAAAATTCCTTTTATGATCATTTTTTAAACTTTAAAGGCTAACAGAACTGAGAAGCCCAGGGGAAATAACTAGAGACTTTCTTAGAAAAAGCCAACTGAAAATGCCATTTGAATTAATCTTTCATATACTATGCACTACCTCACCTGGCGGGAGGGAAAAAAATCTAAATATAAAAATCTAAATATAAAACCCATAAGCTTGAATTTGCAATTCCTGTATTTCTGTTTACAATTCTGTTATATTGCTAAAGTCATGGGACCTCAACAACTAATTTAGGAAACTCAATGTTGTACAAATACCAAGGAGGATTATACTAACAAAGAAAAAGAAGGCTCTCCCAATTTCTCTTACCATTTAGATGTTTTTAAAACATTTTTTTGAAAAATATTTTTTGGGCCGGGCGCGGTGGCTCAAGCCTGTAATCCCAGCACTTTGGGAGGCCGAGACGGGTGGATCACGAGGTCAGGAGATCGAGACCATCCTGGCTAACATGGTGAAACGCCGTCTCTACTAAAAATACAAAAAACTAGCCGGGCGAGGTGGCGGGCGCCTGTAGTCCCAGCTACGTGGGAGGCTGAGGCAGGAGAATGGCGTGAACCTGGGAGGCGGAGCTTGCAGTGAGCTGAGATCCGGCCACTGCACTCTAGCCTGGGCGACAGAGCGAGACTCCATCTCAAAAAAAAAAAAAGAAAAATATTTTTTGTCAAGTAATATATAGGCTATGTGTTCTTTAATATTTCACCTGAATTTTCAATATTATCCGATTAAAGTAAGCAAAAATTTATTCTCAGCTAAAACACTCAAAAGATTTTTTTTATTTTTAATTTTTATGAGTACATAGTAGATGTATATATTTATGGGGTACATGAGATGTTTGGATACAGGCATGCAATGTGAAATAAGCACATCATGGAGAATGGGGTGTCCATCCCCTCAAGCATTTATCCTTTCAGTTTCAAACGATCTAACACCACTCTATTTAAAAATGTACAATTAAGTTATTACTGACTATAGTCACCCTGTTGTGCTATCAAATAGTAGGTCTTATTCATTCTATTTTTTTGTACCCATAAAAACTATTTTTTAACGTAGTCAATTCTACACTATCTTGTTTGTTTACTCCACATTACCTTACACAGAAACCCCTTTCAAATGAATTATTAATAGCACTTCTCACTCTTCTCCTATACCTCCACCTTCACATCTGGGGTTTACAGGGAACTGAATAGCTCCAAAGCTCGGAAGAACAAGAAAACCAACTGTGTGTGACTTGGCAGACTGCGGCTCTGGAGAGCGCCACGCAATTGTGAAACTGACTCTAAAACTGTGGCTGAGCGTCTGCGGAACTGAACCAAAGTAAACTCTCCCAACGGCCTCCCACCGTCCTTATGCCATGCTGTTTTGAAGCCATTGCTCTGGTAACATCTCTGCCCTTCTGAAGTAAAATTAAAACATTTCAATGTAGGCATGCCTCATCCCAGCTGGCTGTCAAAGGGCCTGCACTGACTCCCTGGAATGATTTGATAAAATACTTCACATATGCATCATCCAACTTGACAGTTTTCATCCTAGCATATGAGGAAATGTACTAGGCAAGCAGAAATGCTGATAAAGACATGAAAGGATGTTCCATCACTGTGAACTGTATTGAAGAACAATCTCTCCCAGAAGGACTTTCATCTGCCAGATATCAAAAAGACACTCAGACTAACACTTGCATGAAACATTCTTTCTATTTTAGTGAATATCCGAGAGGGTGTAACACGGTAAAGACCCTCAAGACTGCGTGCGGGAGTCTTGCCACATTTCTGAAAGCTTTCTGATGAAATATTATTTCCCCACTTATTCTCTAAAAGACTGACATTAACCCTATCAAACACTAAAAT